ATTTCTCAAAGTGAGTATCACCAACCACCTTGAGACATTAGTCCAAGTTTCAATTGTAAGCTATAAAGGTATTCAATCTGGAACCCGTGACTGCTTCGCGGCAGAAATAAATATTGTGGTGCCTAAGCATGCTTTCTTACATATAATACAACACAAAGCCATTTATAAGAACCACCGGTATAACGTAATCTATAAAAAAAAGGATGTCCATTTTCAATTAAGTACTTGCGGATGATCTAAGCAATCGTGGTCCTAGTTTCATACCTTTAGGTTTAATAAGGCCCCGACTTTTAATTACCTTTAGTAGAACTTCCCTACCAATCAGCGATGCACTCCACCGGGCTGCAGGACGGGTTCGATGGAGACAGTTGGTTGACGAAATCGGACGGAGTCACGATCCTCAGCAGTGAGGAACCGATCGAAGAGAGAAGAGAGAGTAGAACTTCCCTTGACCGTCTGCCAGTATAGAGCCCATTTTTTTATGTTAAAAGAAACAACCTAATTATTTTATTTAATTAATTAACGGCCGTCTGGTGTAGTGGTAAGTGACATGGTCACTACACAAGGGGGTCGCGGGTTCGAATCCCGCCAAGAGAAGATATTTGTATGATAAATATAAATGTCTTTTCCAGGGTTCTGGATGTATATTAAATATATGTATGTGTATAATAAAAATCTTACATTTATATCCGTTATCTGGTACCTGTAACACAAGTTCTTTACGAACTTATCACGGGACCAGTTAACGTGGCGTGATTGTTAGTAAATATTTATTTATTATTTATTTATTTATTATAAACTATTCAAATTTGTCCCATCAGACGATACATTGGGATAAGAAAATTTTAATCTACAACAACAGTTCTAAAGAGAATTGTCCTGAAACTTTGTAGTCGCTAAAATAAAGTAACAGGGTGTTAAAGTTTGTAAAGGCGTTTAGTACTTGTATGTGTCAATGAAGGAAGTTTTTTTTATTGCCCCTGTAGGCAGACGAGCATACCTTATGGTAAATGGTTACCGTCCCATGGACTTCAGCAATGCCAGGGGCAAAGCCAAGCCACTGCCTACCGCAGCAGCCTAACAGCATTGTAGCGGATGAGTCATGAGCAACGTCGTTAGAGTGTGATGAAATAGAAAGACTAAAAGTCAAAAGTCGAGGACACACCTCGAGGTAGTCGGCAATATCAGAGAGCTGATTGGGAATAATGAACTAGCTGGAGACATGAAGGAAAACTCGCACCTACCCACAGAATGTGCTTATGGATATCAATCTACGGAGAACAACTAATGTGCCAAAAATTCAGCATCGAAGCCAAGGAATAAGAATTCCAGTCAAACCTTTAACCCTTTTTCATCCCATTTAGGTGAAATATAAAAAAGCCTTTCTTATTACTTGCGTACTAAAGGAAAACGTTGGGAAAAAACAGCTTTATAACCCAACAGTCTGACCTGGGCCTTGATAAATGAGTCAGTCAGCCAGAGTAATTGATGTGTGCACATGTATGTATAATCCCAAATATCGGACCGCTTTGTCACAATTGCGACACGAAAAGCCTAAATTTGAAACCTTTTAAATAGATTCGATAGTTTATTTTCCTCTTTTTTGGGTCTCTCTCAGTTTCACGACTGTAATTGATAGATAAATTATTTAAATAAATCAAAACGCAGGATTGCCACATACAAGCTTTAAAGTTTAATTATTTTAGTAGCTTAAGATTTCTGATCCGGTAACCGTACTCGTCGAACTCGACAAAGAGGTCGACGTGCTACCTAACCCATGCATCAGCCCGCTGAGTTTCTCGCCGGATCTTCTCAGCGGGTCGCGATTCCGATTCGGTAGTAGATTCATTCGCGAAGCAATTGCTCTTGGGTTGTTAGGTCTCTTTCGGAGGCGCCCGGGCAGCTTTTAGCAAATCCCACCCCTCCTGGCCGAGCCTTTGCTCGCCCACGTGTCCTGGTGAAACTGGAAAGGCCTCCGGGCGACCAGTAATCCTTCAATCATAAAAAAAGCTTATTGACCTACGCTGCTCGATATAGGCCTCCCCTGATTACTACATTAGATTTTTCAAATGAAACAAATAATACAAAATATATTTTATTTCATAATGCAATACTAAAACGTATACATCTCTTAAATTATCAATCTAAGATATTTCCGTTTCACAAACAGCCATTCCATTAAAATAAATAAGAAAATATTAACCACGGGAATTCATATAATTTCAACGAAGTATTTTTGGAGAATTTAACAACACATTCACTTTAATATATAAATAAGATTAATCATCATCGTTTAGATTTCTGCTCAATGTTATATTTAACTTTACAATTTGATTATTCGTTCTGAATATCCAGTTTCCGTGAACGTTCGCATTATAGAGTAAACTTTATAAAACCGAAATGTTGTTAATATTAAATTTTACTATTCGTGTTTAGTTGTTCTACTGACAACAACAAATATTTAATGGCCCAACATAATTATACTATCCAAACTAGGGAATTACTTTACACACACAACAAAACAGTATTGTTGTTTAAATTTTACAAGTAGAAAAATCGGTTGTCTGTAAAGTCGGTTTACTGACGATAGTTCAACGTGACAACGTCATAAAAAAATACTGATGGAATGGTTTCATTTTTCAATTATCGCAATTATCGTTGCTATAAACAATTGACACCACATTCACTTTTCACTGAACTTCATACTTGACGAAAACATGTAAATGTATTATTGTATAGCAGCTGTCCACGCGGATGCATCGCTCACTCAAGTAGGAGAGAGACAGATGTCGAACGCTGCCGAACGCGGAGGCCGATTGTGCCTCTTTGTCGCTCGTTGCGCGCTCTCGCTTGCACTTCAAGCCTTAAATGGAACGCCTCAGAGCGAGGTAACGCCGCATGCGTCATATTTTTCGTGCATGCAGCCGGGTCGATCGATTTATAAGACGTTGTCACGTCAAAAACATATTTCCGTAAGGATGGTTTCATGAGAGACACGAACAAAACTTAGAAACTAAAAAAATATTCTACTTATTAAATTATACCCGTAATATAATATGGCATGTATTTGTTAGGTGGTTGGAGTGGGTTGGCGAAGCTTAGACAGTGCGACGCCATCTCACACTACTTGCTCTGTTCTGCTTTTGTCCGGACGGGGATTAGATACAGACGCTGTGACACTAGCGACTCAGTTAGCTTCCACAGCCCAGAAAGCGTGTCGACCGAGAATTTCGACCCAAAATCACGTATTTTGAACTTAGTTACATGAATATCGACCTTGTCTTATTATGACACTGACACAGAACTGAGCGTGCTATAAATTAGTTACTTTTTATTACTGCACACGCTTTGGCTTTTAACCTATAGACCACTTTAAGACCTGAGGTCGAAATTTGGATTTAGAAGTTGAAATAAGAAGAACATAATAGCTATCGGATAATAAAACTTACCTATGTATTTACCACCTTATTTCCTTCACAATAAGCTTTGGATTCAATTATTCGTATAAACTAAATACACTATAAACTAAAAACTGTATCAATAAATTAGTCAAAATTATTAATCACAACAACTACATACATATTATTATTATCACTATTGTAATACTGATATTATACAGTTACTTGTGGGCGATTGATTTAAATAACGTGTTCCTATAGTTTCCTAGAACAGAACACTGATATTATTTTCAAAGGACATAGCCTCTAATTGTATTACAAATATAGGCCGATTGCTTTATTTGAGAGCTTTTTTATAGATTTCCATTTAGCCCACTGAGTTTCTCGCCGGATCTTCTCAGTCGGTCGAGATTCCGATCTGGTGGTAGATTCTGCGAATCACTACTAGGGCCTCTTGCCCGGAGCGAATCACCAATGATACAGTACATTCCAGATCTTGACTAAGTACGGTAAATATAGTTCTGATCTGACATGTGTGTGATATTGGTACTATGGAATGTAAATACTGTATCTCTAAGCTCTGGTTCCAAGTAATGAGGAATCATTGATAAATTGTAAGCATTGCACCTAACAGTTGTCTTAAGTTTAGCGATTTATTTTATTACTGTAGCTCATACAAAAATCTGGCCCAGTCAATGTCAATTAATTACACGATCTAATGGATATCTCAAAAAATCTATATTTTTCCCAATTATTTTAGCGATTTCTTGTGCAGTTTTGAGAATAGCCTCCTAAATAAAGAATTCCTTCAGTTTTCTGTTATGGAATCGTTGTCAATACTAATCGCCCATCGCTACCACAATTACACTTTATAATTAAGAAAATCTAGTCAATAAATTATAACAAAACTTAAGCACATCTAGATTTGGTTTTCCCTATAGGATTNCTATATTTTTCCCAATTATTTTAGCGATTTCTTGTGCAGTTTTGAGAATAGCCTCCTAAATAAAGAATTCCTTCAGTTTTCTGTTATGGAATCGTTGTCAATACTAATCGCCCATCGCTACCACAATTACACTTTATAATTAAGAAAATCTAGTCAATAAATTATAACAAAACTTAAGCACATCTAGATTTGGTTTTCCCTATAGGATTATATTGTAACATGAAAATATGTGTAAATATGTTTAGGTTTATGTTTTGTTTTTTAAAAGAATGCGTTTAATACGATGATTTAATATTACCGTTTAAAAGTCTACTGTTACAATTAAAAATAAAATAGGAACTATTTTTTTGTTTCCGATAATTTTACGAACGATTTGAAAAATGTAGCGCTGAACATATATTCGTTAAAATGTTTTTTATTAATGCAATGCAACTGTCTACATTTTACTTCCAAATACTTATTTAGATTAATTAATTATGCTTTAAATTTCAAAGTTCTGCATTTATAAATAGCGTCATCATGATGTAATTATAACTATGAACACAAATATACTGCACATCGCCGCCATTATTATCTTGTTGTTTTCCATATCTACTAGTTATAAATATTCTGATGCTGTCATTTGCTCATGTATCACTAAAATAAAATATTTTTTCATCACCGTATTATCAAGTATCTATTTGACTCGTATCGTCTATATGCCTTGTCAATGATGTTTCATGATGATCTTCATCGCTCCGACTCGAATCACTATCTGTATCCATAATAATATTAAATAATTTATTTATTTATTGCTTAAATGGTTGGACGAGGTCAAGGCCCACCTGATGTTAAGTGGTTACCCATCTAGAACGTAAATCCCGATTAACGATTTAACATTGCAGTGATTTTCGTTAATGAATATTAAATATTGTGGTTATATTTAATCTTAAGAATAACCATTGGTTCATCTATCTCATGTTTATTATACAAAGGAACACTTAATATTTTCATCAAGTTAATTGATTAGGAAATTTTAAATGTTATTTAAAATTCTAAATTTTGTATAACATTTTTTTTATACATAAGATAATTAATAATTTACATATAAAATATAGAAGTAAGTTAGGAGCAATGAATAAAGCCATAAATATACTTAAGTATTGAACACTTTGGTTATAACATATATAAAATAAAAATAAAAACCACAGGTAATTAATTACTTATACCAAGAAAGACTAATTCCCCAAAACACTTACCATGAGGTCTTGTATCCAAGGCTAGGACTGCGAGTGGAGCATCGTCTAGTACTCCAGACCACCTTGCGGCTAATACCCTGGAACCTCTATGTCCTCTCACCACCACCGTGGGCACTATACTCGGAGATATGGTTGAGGCTCCATACATTGACACGCCGATGTTGCGACGCGATATTGTACTGCGAACCATCGAACTTCTATTAGACTGTTTGAGCTATGTACATAAAATTTTAATATTTTAAATAAAACCGTTAACCTTAAATAATTTAACGAATTTCAGTACGATGGTATAAAAATCCCAGTAATGTAATTCAAATCTATATAATCTAATATATAAAATTCTCGTGTCACAATGTTCGTTCCCATACTCCTCCGAAACCGCTTGACCGATTCTCATGAAATTTTTTATGCATATTCAGTAAGCCTGAGAATCGGCTACTATCTATTTTTCATACCCCTAAGTGATTAGGGTTGTCCACCCCTAACATTTTTTTTTTTATTTGGACTTTTTTTTTTGTTATAATGAGGTATTATGTGGTTGAATTAGGTTTTGCTATTTTTATATTCCCTCATCGTTCACAGCACTACATGACTCTTTCACTCATTTAATACCACATCCTTACACAACTACAATAAGTTTTTTTTACAATTCCCTAGAAAGCTTATACATGGCAAAACAACGTTTGCCGGGTCAGCTAGTAATATAATATAAAAACGAATTGCTGTTCGTTTGTCTCGCTAAAACTCGAGAACGGCTGGACCGATTTGGCTAATTTTGGTCTTGAATTATTTGTGGAGGTCCAGAGAAGGTTCAAAAGGTTAAATAAATATAAAAATACTCAGAATTAAAAAAAAAAATATATTTTTCCTTTGATGTGTCCCCCGTCGGACGGATTCCTTTTGTTTGTTTTAAGTTTATTTTGTACAAAAGTTTAGGTCTTTTATTTATCGATTGAGGCACTACAAAGTCTGCCGGGTCAGCTAGTTTTAAATAAAACCATTAATAATTTAACGAATTTCAGTGCGATGGTATAAAAATCCCAGCAATGAAATTCAATTATCATATATTATTATATTCCCAAACTTTTTCCAAAACTTTGCTACAAACTATAAATGATACCAGGCTGGTAAATTTATAAACTATATTGATTTTTAATAAAGTATAAATAATAATGTTGTTCAGGGTAGGGTTAATGGTAAGAAATCTCGTGGACGAGTTCCCATGCAACGGAATCATACCTAATAGTGTACAAGCTTATAATTTCAATTAATTATAGTCGACCACTAGTCCTTAGTAAATCTTCGTCATTTTTACAGACAAAACAAATAATACTCACTCTGGTTCAGCACCACGGCGCGGTCGATTTTTCTTTTTACACATCACGACAAGAGCAACGCAAAGTGTCGTCAGTATGGTCAGCAGTACCAATGAAAGTGCTGCACCTACTAATAATGCGACGCTGTTGTCGGTCTGGACAGGCGGAGAGGTAGGACCGGGTGTCATTGTTTGCAGAGAACCTAGAGGTTTAGGGATTGAATGCTTTAGTTATTCCTCGTGGCGAACAATGGGCCCACGCCCGAGTTCATGTCTAACTTGGTACTTGAATTGGTGAATTACAATACCAGCTTTAGGATAGGATATAACTTACTAATAAAATGACATAAGTGACTACTGGAATACATAAATATGACATTATTAATGAAGTTACTTGAAATATATATTTTTTTGCTTAGATGGATGGATGAGCTAACAGGCCACCTGGTGTTAAGTGGTTACTGGAGCCCATAGATATCTACAACGTAAATGCGCCACCCACCTTGAGATATAAGTTCTAAAGTCTCAAGTATAGTTACAACGGCTGCCCCACCCTTCAAACCGAAACGCATTACTGCTTCACGGCAGAAATAGGCTGGGTGGTGGTACCTAACTATGGACTCTCAATATGTTCTACCACTAAATGACCTCCTACCACTACCTGAAATTGTCGTAGTGGCCTAAAGGACAGGATATCCAGTGTATTCGTATGGAACAATGGGACTGTGTCGAATCTGTGTATTCGTGTCGTTTAGGACCCGGGGCGACCATGACTTCGATCGCAGTCGTCGTGGCCTATGAGATAAGGCCTCAGGATAACGACCGGTTCATTCGTATCTTTTGTGCCGGCGGTCAAATCCCGCAGCCACAATTTTTTCTGACGAATCACTGTGTATAGTGGTAGTATTATAATAGTGGTACCTGAAAAATGTTCACGACTAATTTCCACAGTGAAGGAATAACAAGGCCTAAAAAAATTAAGTCTCAAATAATTCTAATTAGTGTAACTGTTGGTAGTAGAGTGTCTTATGAGGCCACCGGAGTAGGTGTCACCGCCTTGCCTATTTCTATCGTGGAACAGCGTTTGGGTTTGAAGGGGGAGGCAGCCGCTATACTTCAAAACAGAGACTTAGAATTCATGTCTCATGCGACCAAGAGGCAGGAACCCGATCCGTTGGACGGACCAGATTCGTGCAGCCCTTGATACCACAGTGCACAATGCTCTGCACTCTGCCGGTGCATTATAAAAAACAAACTGTTTCAAGGCCATGACCACGACCCTCAGTAATGAGGAAACCGACGCAAGGAGGAGGAGGTGGCTGGCGGCATTTGCGTTATTGATGTCTTGGATTTTTGGTAATTACATAAAACTACTACTCCGTGACCTCGTTCACACATATAATAAAAGTGACGGCTATTCGAAGTCATTTAAGCCAATAGTTTAACTTCTGAACTATTTGGCTGTTTACTGTTACCTCCAGTAAATACTTACCCGGTCTGTCCAGATCTTCAACAGTTCGTATTGACACGCTTCTCAACGCGGCCGGCCTGGGAGACCTGCCTCGAGGAGTCTCAGCATAGATCAGGAATGTATACCGACCAGGTGACAGGGCGTCTAGAGAGAACTGTGGCTTGTCATTCCTATACCTGTAGACGGCTTCGGAGAGACCGCGTCCAGAAATACCCTGGAGAATATTGTATGAATTAATTTTGGTAACTGTATCGAGCTCGTGGGTTAGACAAAACAGTCAACCAGTGTGAACTGATTACCAGAGTTTATGGATCATAGCGCCAAAGTCATGCACTGGCACTGGTGATAGAACCTCTTGTGAGTCCGCACGGGTAGGTACCACACCACCACCCTGCCTATTTCTGCCGTGAAGCAGTAATGCGTTTCGGCTTGAAGCAGCCATTGTAACTATTCTTTAAGTTATTCGTAAGTTTGGGGCAGCCATTGTAACTATTCTTGAGACCTTAGAACTTATCTCAAGGTGGGTGGCGCATTTACGTTGTAGATGTCTATGGGCTCCAGTAACCACTTAACACCAGGTGGGCTGTGAGCTCGTCCACCCATCTAAGCAATAAAAAATAAATAAAAAACATTTGTTTTTGGTAATAACTGCTCCACCTCTCAAACTATTTTGATAAAAAAGAGGCAAAATGGTAGTATCTATCCATTTCGACTTACAATAAGCCCGAGAAACAAGCGACAGAGATACATCTAGAATACTCGATTAAACCAATTCATCTTTCATACATTCTCCTGTTCATTCACTCTCACCTGGTCGTTCATAGTTGATATCTCATTCTCGTCGACTGTTGGTTGGCGTGGCCGTACCTCCTCCAGCGCCTCCAACAGGAACTGCTGGGAGAGGCCTCCGTCGTGTCCAGCATCACAACGGAGGACTTCGTTTGTGACTTCGCAGTTACTTGGCGGCTCAGGCAAAGCTGGTCAAATGAACTTGGTTTTTAACGTACATATTAAAATTTCATCATCATCATCATCATCGGGCTTTATATGCCCACTGCTGAACATAGGCCTTCCCTAATGTCTTACACAGAATGCGGTCCTCCGCCTTCCGCATCCAACGACATCCCGTCGTGTGCACTAAGTCGTCGGTCCACCTGGTTACGTTTTGAGTAATTACCGCTTAAGTTTTGAATAATTAAAATTTAATTATTCAAAATTTAAGAACGAAAAATATTTTACACTGCGGGTAAAAAAATCGGTCTCACCCAAAAGTAGCAACAGAAATGGTAGTGCTAATTATTTTTGACACCATGTCATATGAAAGGCAATATACTAATTTTTTAGGGCATTTCAGGTAAACAAGCACACGTCTCAGCCGATAGTAAGTAGTTATCATCGCTCACGGACTACAGCAATGCATAATCCATTGAGAAATCTACGACAGCGTAAAGCACTTAAGCACTTCAGAAAACAACTTGGTCACTGAGAAGAATTGGCAAGAAACTTAGGACCCGATTTTTTCCAAATATTTGTACACAGATGATTTTCTAAACTAAAACAAATCAATTAATTTAATAAGTATGATTAGATCTAGAAGAAAGTATAATAATAATAAGAAGAAGAATGTTAAATGATAATAAATAAATGGATTTTTTTTACAGGCAGTTGAAAATAACAATTCAACACCCTATATAACAAATACAGTGGGTCACAAAACCACAGTATAGTGAAATTAATACTATAGTCGTACCAGCAGGCATTATCCTGAAGAGACAAGGTTCTCTCTGGTTTCCAATGTCGTTACTGGCCCAGCACGCCAGCCAGCCCAAGTCCTCGTCTTCATCGTCATGCAAACCGTGAATCACTGTACTGCTGGATCCCATAACTGTCACATTGGATGCCGGAACCTAACAATGATTAATCACATCGATATTTGAATAGCGCACATACTAGTGGTAGGACGTCTTGTAAGTCCACACGAGTAGGTAGCACCATCCTGCCTATTTCTGCCGTAAAGCAGTAATACGTTGCGGTTTGAAGGGTGGGGCAGCCGTTTTACTGTTAAAAGTGAGACCTTACAACTCATGTCTCAAAATGGGTGGCGGCACTTACGTTGTAGATGTCTATGGGCTCCGGTAACCACCTCAGCTGGGGTCAGACCAGGTGGGCCGAAAGCTCGTTCACACATCTAAGCAATAAAAAAATCAGCTTCCACTAAGTTTTTAAAGCATTATTATCCCGAAGTCAAAGCCCCTTCTCGGTTTTGCTTCCTTTGAAAAGCCTATGATAAACGCTTGTAATTTCGGTTCTATTCCTGATTCCTGAATGCTATTGTTTTTTTACAGCACAATGTGCAATCAGGTTTACTTCACGTTTCTACTTTGTAAATGGTAGGTACGCAGTTCGGAGGTCACTTTACCACACCATAGCATTCATCATTAAATACTAGAATGAGTTAAATATTATTCTCTGTTATTTTGGTACTTTCATCAATTGTCTATTACATTTTTTATGCGTGTCATCTATTTTTAAAAATTTGATTAGAGCCATATACTATAGACTAGCGGCCCGCTCCGGCTGCGCTCGGGTCTTTAACAAAAATTTCAATGATACTTGTCGTTAATTTATTTTTTTAAATAAAAGAACACTTATTGCGGCATAGCTATAATAATTAGACATATGCTGTCGCGACAGTTTTTTGTAAATAATAACGTGTTATGCAAAGTCTTAGTACATTATTTAATTCTATCATCAATAATTTTCGCAGGGCACGCGATGTAAAGAATATTTTAGGTATTTTTTTTACACCTTGGGTTACATTATTGGAGTTCTAGTAAGGATCCCTAATTTTTTTCAAAAAGATTATAGCCTATGTCACTCTGGAATAGTGTAGCTTCCGAACAGTGAAAGAATTTTTCAAATCAGTTCAGTAGTTTCGGAGCCTATTTAATTCAAACAAACAAACAAATCTTTCCTCTTTATAATATTAGTAGAGAAGTATAGATTACAAATAGCACATTGTGTACATAATCCATTTTTGTGTAACATACCGGTAAAACATCTTTAGTTCCGTTATAAGTCCAGTAAAACCTCAATGGGCCAGCGTCTCTTGATGACGGCGCATTAACAGAACACCTTGCTCTCACTTCTCCGCCAGGAGCTCCCGCTAATTGCTGGACTACTGAACCAGCTGAGCATTCTGGTCGTGCTGCAAAATACCATTTATAGAAGACAACACTTCAGCTTTGGACTGGATTTTAGAACCGACGATTAAATAATAATTATCTATTATTAAGCATTATAACAGGGTGCACAATCGTAACTATTGGTAGGCTCTGTCATGATCTGGTTGCTGAACTCAGGGTACGCTCATGATGAGGAAACAGTATTGTTACGCGGGTAAGAGCAACGCCATCTATCGCCGAATAGTCGAAGGAATATCGAAGGATCTAGTAGCACCTAGAACGCTCGATAAGTACAACGCCATCTATTGTCAGATAGCGGAAACAATACTAGAGATGTGTGGAATATTCTCGATAATTCTAGGGATGAGGTATCGACTATAAAAGCGTTGCAGGGATGGCACGCAGTCAGTCAGTAATCGGAACTACTCGAAGCGAAACAGCGAACGGATCACCTGAAGCGAAGCGGAAGAAGCGAATTGAGAGTTTTATTTTAAAGTGAAGTGTTTTAAGTGTCATAAATGTTGAATATAGTTTTTTAGTTGTACTTCGGTGGATTTTTATTTATCCCGAACCGCAGCGCGTAACAGTATTATTATTTATATCATATGAAGGTTCATAAGTGAATATTTCTATAACTCAAGGTCACATACGTAAAGGCAAAATAACTTACTTAGTACGTTTAGTGTGAGGGGGTCGCTCAGAGCGCTGCCTTCAGAGTTCCTAGCCTTACAGCGGTATACGGTTGAATGATGTCTTCTCAAACCTTGAAGCATGAGTCGATCGTCTTCCACAGCTATCCCTGCTATAGGGTCGTCTCGGATTTGATACACCTGTTGAAAATGCCTTAAAATTTTATTTGTAAAGAGATTTTACTGGTGGTAGCACTTCTTGTGAGTCCGCGCGGGTAGATACCATCGCCCTGCCTATTTCTACCGTGAAGCAGTAATGCGTTTCGGTCTGAAGGGTAGGGCAGCCGTTGTAACTATACTGAGATCTTAGAAGTTATATCTCGAGGTGGGTGGCGCATTTACGTTGTAGATGTCTATGGGCTCCAGTAACCACTTAATGCCAGGTGGGCTGTGAGCTCGTTCACCGATCTAAGTAATAAAAAAAAATCGTTGGGGGAAATTTTTGTTTCTATAATTGCCCATGAAGGCAGACCAGCATACGGCCACCTGATGGTAAGTGATTATCGTTGCTTATGAATGTCAGCAATGCCAGGGGATACAGATTGGATATAGAGCCAAGACTATATCCACCAAGTAGAGACTGAAGACATGGTTCGTCACTAGGAGATGCATTTAGGATCCTCTAGGATTGCACAAAGCTTTTATAATCAAATTGCTAGACAAACTGACGATAAAATCGTCCACTTTTAATTAATATACGGAACCTTATGTAAACTACCCTAATGAGATTAGCGCAAACAAAGGGGAACCCTCCTGTTGAAGAGTGCTCTCCGAACGGTTTTATCATTTCCTACGAAAGTGGTGGATCATGCCACCCATCTGATGGCAATCGGTTACTATGACTCATGGATATGAACTACAAGGATCACAGCCAATATACGGACTGTCGTACAGGACTGGTTTCAAACCTCGTATGATAAAGGATTTTCCGTTAGGACATAAAATGGATGAGAGTTGACTCTTTTACCAATCTGTTCATTCTTTGGAATTGATTTATTGCAAATAGAAGGAAACCTTTATTTAAAAAAAAATGTAATACCAAATTTAGTTCTTAGTTAGTTGATTATGCATAATTATCGGTTATCAAATACAATTTAAAATTTATTAATTTTACTGTAACATATACCTACACCTTCAGGACCAGAGATGGACAAAAAAGGTAACAATATGGACGGGCCCACTAGAAAAAAGAAAGAGGGGAAGACCATATACTAGATGGGAAGATGATATAAAGAAAGTAGCAACTACAAATTGGATTAAAATTGCGCAATCCAGAGAAGATTGGCTATCCTTGGAGGAGGCCTTTACCCGAGGAGGGGTTCTTGCAAGTGGGAAATAATACCTAATATTGTTCAACAGACACATTATTTATTAGTTAAGAATTGCATTAATTTTTGTTGTTAATTTTTTATTTTTGTTTTTATGTCACTTTTTTATGTCACTTGTACGAAATAATAGGCTTTTTTATTTTGTTATTATTATTATACCTACGCCAGTGGAGAAAATAGTGTATACACCAATTAATGGCTCATAAAATTTGTTTATATATTTATACAGAGCACGTATCGCATCCTCTACCTAGGATTCATTTAAAGTTCTTAAAACTTGGAGTGTAACTGCGAAATGAAGTTTACTTCCAATCAAGAGACAGGGTCATTCAAATTTCGATTCAGCGTCTAGACTTCTCATTCTTTTTCTAATGAGCAAAGTTAAAATTATTATGGATTTCATAAAACTTTAAGCAATTGGAATATTCTAGAAAGAAATATTTTTCGTCGACGTTATTAAGTCTGGTGCAAAATTATCGGTCTAGTTGATTTAATATTTAGTGTTTGAGATATATTTTAACCAGTTCTTAGTAATTAAGTCAGCAGTAATACTTAATTGGTTAATACCAAATTTCCTTTAAGACGAAAAATATATTCATCGCGATAACGCTACCTGTAAACACTATTATTATTATTATTTTATCGTTAAATTAAAATTAATTTTTACCCAAAAATATCTCAAATGAAGCGGCCTAGTTCTTAACAGTGACTTTCTCGTACTGTAGTTTTATATTGTTATCTTGTTCTCTCTTTGAAATTATTTTAGTAACGATTTAAGTTCAGAACTTTTCTTAATGTTTTTTTTTAATCCAATCTTACCTCTGTACCTTTGTAAAAGGTGAAGTTATAGGCTGCCGGTGAAGCATCAGCAGAGCAAAGAAGCACAGCGTTTTCATCTTCTCGCAGCAAACGAGGCTCCTTGGGTTCTATCAGCGATATTTGAGATACTGGTGGATCTGGTAATGAAAAAGAAGGCGCTTGATTTTTACATTTTACTTTACAAATTCATTAGTAATTTTTTTATATCTTGGAAGCACTAAGAGATGCTTGCTATTAATTGCCTTATAGAATCATATTTGATTTTAAAATAAAATCAGAAAGCGGCTGCAAAGGGCCTGTATGTTCTACAAACGTTATGAAGTATTTTTTATGTACCGCCGTCACTATTCTACATAATAACGTACATAGACCCAATAGAAAGTAGAAGAGTTTTTTTGATCCTGGCTGAGCCTTTGCTCGCCCACCTGTCCTGGTGAAACTGGAAAGGCCTTCGGGCCACAAGTAATCTCTCAATCATAAAAAAAAGAAGAGTTTTTATTAATCAAAGACTAAGAAACTTTAGCAGCGACTCCGGACCAATGTAATTATAATTTTAATTTTAATAAATTTCCGAATATTTCGATTTGGCAACAAGCGGATTGTTTATTTAGTGCATGACTTTTCTCGGGCTTGCTGTTGCTGGACTCACAGATTAAAGTTCCCTTCAAGTATTACATGTGATAACAGTGAATTATAAACCCTCATTTGTGGATATTCCGCTACATCATACGTTTGGGTTTGAAGGATAAGACGAATATTATTTAATACAGTGAAGATACACATGTCTGAACTTTACGGCTCACTGTAAGTAGAGAACACCGGGTGGTTATTGAGCCCATCTAAAGCAATAAAAAGGAGCATTATAGAAAAAATCTAACGAAGTTATAAGGATGCACAGTTCTTTTTTGCAGCATCTACATATTTTTAATTGTTATTGCTTAGATGGATGGACGAGCTCATAGCCCACCTGATGTTAAGTGGTTTCTGGAGCCCATAGACACCTACAACGTAAATGTGCCACCCAGCTTGAGATATAACGTCTGAGGTCTCAAATATACTTATAGTTATAACGGCTGCCCAACCCTTCAAACCGAAACGCATTACTGCTTCAGGACCGAAATGGGCAGGGTGGTGGTGCCTACCCGTGCGGACTCACAAGAGGTTCTACTATCACTAATAATTCGTATAGTTCAGTCGCAAGCAACAGAACAATTATTACGCTTGTTTTGTAAGTTTTGTAACTTGTACAAACAATGTTACGTACGTGCACCTAATGAGTTTCGGTGCACACAATAAACATTTTCTACAGTTTGAGCACTTATGCTATGATGAACAATAATGAAGCTATTAAATTTAAAATAGTCAGTGAAGTTGAAAGAATTTATTAGCTATTCGTTTTTGGTACGAAGCAACTATGTGTTCCAGTTTGATTGGGAAGCTAGTTGTATACTAATAGTAATTACTACCAATCAATCGATCCAATCTTCAACTGAACTCAGTTGAAGATTGGATCTCATGTCTTAATAAATAATAGTTTAAAAAAACTAAAAAAATACGCTTTTATAGAAAAACCTTCTAAGAAATAAAAAATAAATTTGTATTAAAAATAGTGTAAGGAAAAATGATTTTATTGTAAAAAAAGCGTGGGGTGCATGGTATCAGTAGTTATTTATATTTATAGTATTTTATGAACAAATATGAGCAGAAGAATTGTTTTGATAATATACTGAAAAGCACCCCACGCTTTTTGACAATAAAATCATTTTTTCTTACACTATTTTTAATTCAAATTTATTAAATTTTATTTTCTATAGAAGCGTATTTTTTTAGTTTTTTTAAACTATTATTTATTTTTCATTTTTTAGTTGAATTTCAATTTTTTAAACTTTTTTTTTAAATTAAATTGTCATCGGTCCTTAATAAGTATAACAAATTGCGAGTTAATCTGACGTTTTGAAGGAGGTCAAAATCATGTTTAAAGATTCCGTTACAAACATACATACTAACATACATACATACATACATACATACATACGTCTGAAGCTAATAAAAGCGTATTAATAAAAGAGTTGTGAAGCTTATAGCCTTTAGATGAAAACTATACTACGATTCATGCGTACTTAGGTCACATCGCTCGTAGATGCCCCGATAACTTAGAGAAGCTGATGGTAGTTGGTCAGGTTGACGGGAGAAGATCACGCGGACGCTCACCTACCTGCTGGTCTGAGCTGGTTAAGACGCTCACCGGCTGCCAACAACCGAGTCTATAAAGACCGCCAAGGACCGGAAGACGTGGGGAAGTAATAGTTTGAGGAAAAGTCTTTTCGCATTATAGTATGTATGAACTTGCAATAAAATTTATTTGGCTCTACTGTTTGTATCTGGCTGGTTTTGATGTCATTAAAAGTTTAAATTTTAAAGAAGATAATTCTAAATTCAAAATAGGAAAATGTGTGATTTTTATTTTTTATTCCTTCCAAAACCAATTGTCGCGGTATTTTGATCAGAAGCCCCAAAATTTCTATAGCAATGGGATCATGTCCCTACCTAACTAACATACATACTTCTGAAGCTAATAAAAGCGTATTAAAATGGCTTATTAGTTGCCTTTATTATTTTGTGATCTGCTCCTACTTCTCTTCAACTCTCATTATCTATCCAGTAGACCTTCGATAAGCGTGAATTGATTAGTTCAGAAACACATAGATAGAGTTTCCCTTCATGTCACTAATTCAGGATGTAGGCCGATACTTCTTAACACTTAGACCCTTTAAGATATTTTCTATCAATTCGCTAATATCTACTCCCTTTTTCAAATACTTGTATGGGTTTTGTTTGGAGACTTTCTTCTTATTCGACGTTCCCTCATTAGTGAGGATTTCGACCACACACATGTAAGTCTTTCCATGAAGATCGATCCGCTTCGAGGTGGACCGCTTGTTGGATGCTGCCTCCAACTGTCCTCTCAATAATATCCCAACATCTTGTTGGTTCCCTTGCCTTTGGCTCGTTTCCCCTCCATTTGACCAAGAATGGGAAGATTTACCAGACAATGCCTTGGAGACCACACGATATGGCCGAAAAAATGGACTTTTCGATTTTGGCCAATGATGAAGATTTGTGTTGGAATGTGCAGACTAAAAACTATGACAATAATAATCATTAGCTAATATCACAATTTTTGTGCTTTCCAAATTCCACAAAATATACGATACGAAATCTGCGACGAGTTGTTTAATTCTCATCATCATCATCATCATCTCATCCCGAAAAGTTTTTACCGTAAGTAAATAACACGACAAAATCATCTGCAAATTTGTCTGAGCCATTCAAACAAGCAACGCGAACTTTACACGCGAAACAAACCAGCATGGTACACAAACACTTCATTCTGTATTATAAGGGAATTATTTTAACTTACACGCACGCATTTGATACAATTCAACTCGGTAACAAGTTCAAAAAGTTAAATAAGCAAGCCGACGGTATTAAGGACCCTAGTAACTTTATTTCCAAATTACAAGGCAAATGTTTGATCAAACTTCGAACGCGATTTGAAAAAGTACGCGTGTTAATAAAAGTTTTCTGATGAAGATTTTAATACAAATTGAAATATTTATTAATTATATCTACAGTGCGCTGTTGATTGTAACTAATAAGATAAGTGATATTTGGATGTCAACAAGACAGAGAATAATAATATAGTATGAACTAAAAACTTTAATATGTGCCACGATTTTATCGTCTGCTGATCTAGAAAACTAAAAACATTGTTCAGAAAAGTACAATGCATCAGCTCAGAACAATATATATATACAACTCCGTTTGGTTGATGGTGTTGTTTGAACGAGCTCTCAGCCCACCTGGTGTTACCGGAGCCCATAAACATCTACAACGTAAATGCCGCCACCCATCTTGAGACATGAGTTCTAAGGTCTCACTTTTAACAACGGCTGCCCCGCCCCGTATTGACGTATTGTGTGAGCAATAAAAGTTTTATTTTATTACTAGCTGACCCGGCAAACATTGTTTTGCCTTATAAAATATTTCCAGGAAAGATAAATTAACCTATATATCGACTGTAGCGGCATCCGCCGGGCTGCTTTGTGAATCTAAACCATCCAAGGCGCCACCCAAACGCATACAAAAAAATTCATTCATATCGGTCGGTATAAAGATTTACCGCCATATTACACAAATCAAGTCAAATTAAATAGTTGAAAAACTAATCTCTAGAAAATATTAATCACAAATTTAGCTAAAAGGTTGTTTGCGTGCTCATTTGATTTCGTATGCAATCCAAAAAATACGACGCATTTCTGAATGACGCTCCAACATTTGATCAAACCTTTGGACACGATTGGCGAGTCTATCCACGCCTTAACACACGAAACCACAAAAGATACACTCGCGTCGACACCACTTGACAGCGAGCGATAATATTTTAACTTGACGAGATAACCCGGCCGGTTGCGAAGTTACACAAGTCTGGTTCACGTTACGTTGTGTTACCGCGCAAATGTGTTTGGTCGTTTGGCTTTGTAATTCTCGGGTTTTGGCTGGTTCTGTGCCTTTGTAAATTGCTGTTTTACGTACTTCATACAACTTCGTATTTATGACGGCTATTTGAGTTTTAGGAAGAAGATATATAAAAAATTGTTGCCTTTAAATTTTAATAAGGCGTACTTTGCGCAAATGTTTGAAAATTGTAGTACAAGGTAAATGGGGAAGAGGACGACCGAAGAAGACATGGATGGAGTGTGTGAATGACGATACGAGAGAGAGAGGAGTGAGTGTTGAGATGACGGCTGATAGAAGAGAATGGAAGAGAAAATTAGCTGGGCCGACCCCACCTAGTGGTATAAGGTGGAGAAAAAGAAGAAGATTGTATTGTCAATAGAACACCGCAACATAGCTGCTATATTTTTACATTTTCCAAAATTTCTGTAAATTAAACGGTTGTCTGGAATAGATCGCTTTTGGCGATAAGGCCTATGTCCAGCAGTGGGCAGATAAAGGCTGGTGATGATGATGATGATGATGATAAGACTGCTTACTGTACAAATAAATCTGCTTATTGACTGTTTATGAATGTAAATTGTGTTTTGGTGTGCAATAAAGTATATTCTCTCTTCTCTCTAAAAGGCAACAGAAACCTAAGCCTTTTTCATGAGATAGTCCGAACAGCTATTCCGAAATCTCTCCTGACACGCGATATACTCAGTCCCATGTCTCCGTAAGCCAGTAGGCGCATGTGTGACAGCCGGCTACATAATAAAACCCGTCGAGACCCACTCCGGTCGTGATAATATTCAAACTTGCCACCCAAGTTGTTGATACTGATTTGTAGCTACAAAATTACCGGGAAAACGAAGGCGTGGATGTTAATATTTTTCTTGAATTGAATTGCAAATTGAAATCGATAGGTCTTTGAACTTTTTTTTATTGCTAAGATGAGTGGACGAGCTCACAGCCCACCTGATGTTAAGTGGTTACTGGAGCCCATAGACATCTACAATGTAAATGCGCCACCCATCTTGAGATATAAGTTCTAAGGTCTCAAGTATAGTTACAACGGCTGCCCCACCCTTCAAACCGAAACGCATAACTGCTTCATGGTAGAAATAGGCAGGGTGGTGGTACCTACCCGCCCGGACTCTCAAAAGGTCCTACCACCAGTATCATTGTTTGTAGGAAGACTTATAGCAGATTTACCAATGTTTAAGGGGAATGGCGTGTGCCAAGAAACGCTAATAGGCATTATTGATATCCATAAGCGACGGTAAGCATACTTATGTTCGTTTGCCTACAGTGGCGACAGAAACAATATTGAAGAATAGGTTTTTAAAAATAAATTGTTGTCAGTTCTTCGGATAGAGCACAAAAGAGGCAACTAAACTTCGCACTGAAAATCTCATCATTAATTCAGATTCATCCTGGAAAATTAACTGATCTAAATTCTTTATTTCTTAATCGTGGAAAAAAAATATGCTTCCATTTTTTCTTGTTGAAATCATATAAAAACACATTAAAACAAATCATACAAATTTCATTTAAAAAATCAAAAGGACTTTCCTTGACTTGTAATTGTATTGTAATTAATTCTAAAGCATTATAAATTTATATATTCCTTGTGTTAGAAACGACTTTACTTGAAAATATTCATCTAAAAATTATAATGTTGTTGTGACCCAAATTAAAAAAAAAGACAGTTCAAATTGAAGTGATTTTTGCAGAAAGCCGATGCGAAATCATTCGCTTTGCATATCTCGAAAAAACGATCGTCAGTTTTTCGCGAAGCAGACTTGTTCGGCTAAAATTATTTCCTACTCTGCTTTATAAATTCCCGTATCAGACTCTGGAATAGTTTTTGTTCGATATGGAATTTTAACGATAATTTTTGAAACTATTGTTTCAGTTCCAGTCAAGTATATTCGATATTAATTGGTGCTCTGTAAATCCTTTTTGCGTTCTTTTTTTTTTCAATCCTTTTTGTTTATTTAGCTTAGCGTTGTATATTCAAATATTTATTAATTCGTGTTCCAAAAACTATGTCTAATCAATGTGATTCTTACAAAAATACGTTGGCAATTGATACTAAATACATTTATTACCTTTACTAGTTAAGTATTCAAGACTAGAATTTTTGAAGGAAAGAGGAGAAAAAAATCATTAATTTATAGTCATATTAAATAAACCGTATGTACAGTTTTTATTTTATTTTAATTATTAGGGATTATGCGCTGTGTTGTGTCAGTGTAGAAAAACACCACCCCACATCCGTGGCTGTCGTAAAAGGCATCTGAAGAACTCACTGGAGAATGAGCGGAGTTATTCTCTGATTAATATACCAGCACACTACAATCGCCAATCTACTTTTACTGTTAGGTGTTAAGCCCTAATATGGGCCTGAATCTGTAGTGCTACCGCCTATTTATGCTGCGAAGCATTGCGATCAGAAGAGTTTTTTTTTTACAGGCAGTGGACCGAACCTCATACGAGGTCCCTGCAGTTGGGGGGGTCACCCAGTTGAGTATGTGAGATTTGTCGGTCTGCAGATATTGGGAACAGACCGTGGGCCCAAGGTTTGTGATTCGAATACTGGAATAGCCATTGTATAAGACAATTGACAGTTCCAGTTAATGTCAGTTCCAGTATCTGCAAGCCTCAGGTACTCACTTAACACCAGGTAAGTCGTGAAATACTCCAACTATAGCTGGATAACAAACAGGATTAAACTATACGACCATCTCAAATTGAAACTGGCAAGTTACACGAAAGGACATAACCTATACCAAATAATAAGAGCTCAGAGAAGTCACTTACACATAACCTCAAACATTAAGGAATCTTCTATGGTGTAGGCAGGGAACCATGGATTCGAGACACGGCACACCAATTGTCTACCGCTGTCTTCTCTTCTCACGTGCCAAGTTAGAATACTCTTTGTAACATCACCATCTACTTCGACCTGCAGAAAAATATGAGAATTCAGTATTCGCCAACGAAAATGTGTTTTTAATAGTACAGCTCCGCTTTAGTCCGTAAGTGTCCGTAAGTAAGTGTGAGTCCGCGCGGGTAGGTACCACCACCTTGCCTATTTATGCCGTGAAGCAGTAATGCGTTTCGGTTTGAAGAATGGGGCAGCCGTTGTAATTATACTTGAGACCTTAGAATTTATATCTCAAGATGGGTAGCGTATTTACGTCGTAGATGTTATGGGCCAGTAACCACTGTACAGTAACTACCACCACCTGGTGGGCTGTGAGCTCGTCCACCCATCTAAGCAATAAAGAAAATAAAAATAATAAAAAAGTTTAATGTAGTGAAGTACGTCTTAGATCATAAAAATGAAGGTTTTGGAAATTTGATATAAACGAACTAACTAGAAACATTATTATTTCTGTTTATATCTTCAATGTGCTTAGTAATTAAATCAGATGGGCCGGAAAGATTGTCTTAAGTTGCTACCAGAACCCAAAATGATTACAATTGCTCGTCACCCACGCACGAGGAATCAAATTGTAAGACTGTTGACCCTTAAAATCGGAACGTGTGAGAGCTTTACAGAGAGACTTACCAGAACGACTAGTGAAACATAATGCCTTACCTCGGTCATAGTCGAATCCACGAGGCGCGAGTTGATGAACCAGTCAATGTTAGGAGCTGGCTTCGATCCTCGTGTCGTGCACACGAAGGAACGATTCTGGCCAGCTCTGGTCGCGCCACTACCAGTCACTCTGACGAATTGGGGTTTCACTAAATTCAAACAAAATATTAATTTATTTCCGATTACCTTACTTTGTGAATCTATGCTAATATATAAATCTACAGTGGTTTTTTCGGATGTTCCGTTATAACTACTGAACCATAAATCCGATTGACTTGAAACTTGGTATCCATGTAGAAAATACATGTACTTAATAGATAGGCTAATATTTATATGAGTGTTGGACTCCCTACACCAGTTGCGGGGGCGTTAATGATGATAGATCGAATATATAGATAGAACCTAGATGAGAATCTTTGTAGGGGTAAGAATAATAATGTTAATTTTAAATGCCCAGCGAAGCGGACGGGTCCAGTTAGATATATATAACATCGGATTCAAACATGAAAATCATTTTTAAAGACAAGTAAGTAAGAACTATATTTAAAAATTATTGGCCTTTTATTTGGTTTAATATAACTTACAAAATAATTTGATGGTAACATCCCTGAACTGCGGTTCAAGTAAGGGGGGTTCTACTCTGCACTGGAACTTGGCACCGGACATCTCCCTGCTCAGAGTTGGGATGTGAAGTTGACAGACCGAGCCTTCTCTGGTGAAGGCAAGTCTATCTGCACCTTGGTACCAAGAAACGTCTGGTGGTGGTTTACCTTAAGGAATAAAGTTCAAAATTATCATTAACACTACATAGTATAAAACAAAGTCGCTTTCTCTGTCCCTATATCTGTCTTTTTTTTTTATTGCTTAGATGGGTGAACGAGCTCACAGCCCATCTGCTGTTAAGTGGTTACTGGAGCCCATAGACATCTACAATGGAAATGCGCCACCCACCTTGAGATATAAGTTCTGAGGTCTCAAGAAAGTTAAATCGGCTGCCCTACCCTTCAAACCGAAACGCATTACTGCTTCACGGCAGAAATAAGCAGGGCGGTGGTACCTACCCGCGCGGACTCACAAGAGGTCCTACTACCAGTAATAATGTCTGTCCCTATGTATGCTTAAATCTTTAAAACTACGCAACGAATTTGGAAGCGGTTTTTTTAATAGATAGAGTGATTGAAGAGGAAGGTTTATATGTATAATAACATCCATTAAATAGTGGAGAAATCAATAATAAATTACAGTTTTCAAAGCGAAGCTAGGATGAGTCGCTAGTAATGTAATAAAAGAAAGAAAAAATGGACATCGACTCATTGGCAAAAAGAATTGACACTGGAGGCTCACCAGCTCAGTATTACAATGCATTGGGGCATAGCGCTGATTTTCAATTGAACCTGCTTCTGGCGTAAGCAAGTCAAACGCAGCACCAAAAAAGCATTTTTCCCCTACCAGATTGCTCCAGATTCACACAGACTGATATCATAATATTGATATACGCACGTAATCACAATTTATACAGCAACAATAACACAAGATAACTACTAATCGCTTGGAAGCATTTGTAATGTGTGTTGACGTGTCAAATAGACTAAGTTCAACACGTGTGGGCTCTTTATTTCCATTGCCAACCAATATTGAAGTCTCAAAAATAAAATACATTTGATTTAAAATCTTAACACGAATGACCCTAAATCTAGAAGCATGATCGTAACGAGAACACTCCAACCTCAGGGAATTGTAGTCTTACTATCGGTTCTGTATCTCCGTGTTTGGAAATTAGCGTTCTACGTGCAAAGAAATGAAAATGCATTTTCTTTTAAACTAGCGTTGGTACAATTTTTTTTATTGCTTAGATGAGTAGACGAGCTCACAGCCCACTTGGTGTTAAGTGGTTACTGGAGCCCATAGACATTCACAACGTAAATGCGCCACCCACCTTGAGATATAAGTTCTAAGATCTCAAATATAGTTACAACGGCTCCCCCACCCTTCAAACCGAAACGCATTACTGCTTCACGGCAGAAATAGGCAGGGTGGTGGTACCCACTCGCGCAGACTCACAAGAGGTCCTACCACCAGTAAATTACATTAATCGAAATTAAAAAAATTTTTTCATCAAAATTAATCAATCGAAAATTTTATTTGTTTTGTGTACCATATGAAGTAAATCGTTATTTTCATTAAAAAAATATTGATAGAAGTAAAGATCGTATCTATGTACCATCTAAAAAGAAAATTTGTTTTAAAGTAAACAGTCATATCATCCACCTGATGGTAAGTAATAGTTTGAAGTCGTCGTGGCCTAACGGATAAGACGTCCGGTGCATTCGTATTGAGCGATGCACCGGTGTTCGAATCCCGCAGGCGGGTATATTTCTAATGAAATACGTACTCAACAAATGTTCACGATTTACTTCCACGGTGAAGGAATAACATCATGTAATAAAAATCAAACCCGCAAAATTTTAATTTGCGTAATTACTGGTGGTAGGACCTCTTGTGAGTCCGCGCGGGTAGGTACCACCGCCCTGCCTATTTCTGCCGTGAAGCAGTAATGCGTTTCGGTCTGAAGGGTAGGGCAGCCGTTGTAACTATACTGAGATCTTAGAACTTATATCTCAAGGTGGATAGCGGATTTACGTTGTAGATGTCTATGGGCTCTAGTAACCACTTAACACCAGGTGGGCTATGAGCTCGTCCACTCATCTGAGCAATAAAAAAAATAAAAAATTATAGCCCAAACGAATCGCTAATACACACAACTGTCTCGTATAAAAGAAGCAAAAGCAAAAGAACCATAATGTCTAACAGATATTCCTCTCTCGTGTTTCAGTTAATAGCAATCCTTAATAGCATTCGGAAACTAATAATTCAATTCAAAATAGCCTCATTGAAAATCTAATAGAGATTTTGTTTGGCTTAGCTCATAACCGTTTCCAATTCGCGCTATCAAAACTGGCTCTTGGCACTCGTCTTTCTTGGAAATATATAATATTAAAACGTAAATAGCCTTCGATAAAGATTATTTTCACTTTGATTAGTCACGATTCTGATGATTGATTAATTCAAGTACGCAGTGATTAGTACTAAATTTATAGGTACAATGGTCAACTATAATATAATTTCAGATTTATCCAATTAAAAGTTTCAGATTAACATAGAATTTATACATGTAAGTGTATTTTAATTAGGTTATTCACAAAAAGGAGTACAGAGGCGGAAAACAAGAGGATAGTACAAATAACCTATATACTAATCAGTATTAAAATGGTTGTGCAAACAGGATTATAAAGGGAAAAAACAATTTAAAATTATACTGCTAATCTTACTGGTGGTAGGACCTCTTGTGAGTCCGCACGGGTAGGTACCACCACCCCGCCTGTTTCCGCCGTGAAGCAGTAATGCGTTTCAGTTTGAAGGCTGGGGCAGCCGTTGCTTGAGACCTTAGAGCTTATATCTCGGGATGAGTGACGCATTTACGTTGTGGATGTCGATGGGCTGCAGTGACCACTTAACACCAGGTGGGCTGTGAGCTCGTCCACCCATCTAAGCAATAAAAATAAAAAATCTAATGAAATAAGTTTTGACCAGATTCAGTTGCTACAATACCATCAGATGAGTCCGTTCGAACATCTGCTCATGTAGGTTAAAAAAGGTTGGAGTACTCTACCATTTTCATGGCTATTGACAAGTATCGATGTAAATTGGATAATTTGATGTAAATTTAATCTCAAAAATATCACTTATAAAAATCACATAATTAATTTACTATCTCAATCAATCATTGAAACGACTTAATTTTTAATAATCTAAAGTATTAATTCTCACCTCCAGCCGCTTGACAAGATAAAAGCAAGTTTTGTCCTTCCCGGAAAGGCCCCGCGAAGTTCCCCAGAATCTCCCTCCCCTCGGAATCGTACAACCGAGGTGGTTCTGGAGGCACTATAAATAAAACCATACTTTTACAAATGCACGTGTATCATTTGAAGAGATCAAAAGAGAAAACGTAAAATTATTTTTACTAACTTGGACTTACTGAAAGCGAAGTGGCCAGTCTTATTTCATCCAAATAAATGATTTATTAAAAGTAAATACATGTTGTTGAACAAATTTTAGAATTTAGGACAAACTTTAAAATTATTGGTGATGTAGGGGATGACATAAAAATTTGTATGTTTTTATTAAAAATGTCACGTGAAAGCTACCTGAAAGTTTCCTGTCTTGAGGCTGAAGTCAGTATTAAATAAGAACGACTGATCCATACCCAGTTTTATTACTGGTGGTAGGACCCCTTGTGAGTCCGCGCGGGTGGGTACCACTACCCTGCCTATTTCTACCGTGAAGCAGTAATGCGTTTCGGTTTGAAGGGTGGGGCAGTCGTTGTAACTATACTTGAGACCTTAGAACTAATATCTCAAGGGGGGTGGCGCATTTACGTTGTGGATGTCTATGGGCTCCAGTAACCACTTAACACCAGGTAGGCAGTGAGCTCGCCCACCCATCTAAGCAATAAAAAAAAAGCACCCAATAAAAAACTCCTAGTACAAAACTCATACTATTTTTGCTATAAGAAGAAATATTATTAATTTTACTTCTGTTTCCTAAGGTATTTAATTATCACTTAGGTTTCTTAATGAAGGAGAACTCACAACGGCAGTAATTGCATTATCTAACTGAAGGTTAATACCACGTGTTAGGAAACCGACTAAAATTTCCTTTTCCTAATCCACGCCATCTATCGGCATAATGAAGAAATGTAACGCGCCTCCTAGCGGGCGAAGAAAAGAACTATAGTCGACGCTTTCGAACCGCGCGCGCGCCAAATTAAAAAAGTCTTTTAATTCAAAAATACTGTTTTTCGCAAACTTTGCGATTCAACTTGTGCGTGTGTCCGTGTATTAAAAACTCCAGCATCCAGAACAGTGCCCCGGGGACAGAAGACCACAAAATATAGAAAGCAATCATTTGTGAGTACCTTCCCCTTTTTAGTCGGTTTAGTTTCTGGGAATTTAAATTTAACTCAACAAACTTGTTTACACAACACCACGTAATAATCATGTTTCAGCATAGCATTGTTATTGAAATTTAAACTAATTTCACTTACCAATTACAGTTAAATTGACACGATAATTCCTGGTCGGGGAATCGACGTAGTCAATTCTACATCTGTATATCCCCTCATCGTATCTGACGACCTTCTCGACCGCCAGGTGCGCTGATGATGGATCGGATTCGTTTAGCACAAAGTGAGTTCTGGCACCGAACTCACCAGCTGTAGCCCAATGTACTGATGGACCGTTCCTAAAATCCACTCTGAAAAAAAAAAAACATTCGTAATAAAACAAGATCATAAAGCACAATTAACATATTAAAAACCGTGTAAAAAAAACTAACGTGTTAAAATAAAATGAATTTGTTAAATCAGAACGAAATAAAAATAAGGAAATATAGATTTTGTGAGTCCACACGGCACCACCGCCCTGCTTTTTTTTGTCGTGAAGCAGTAATGAGTTTCGGTTTGATGGGTGGGGCAGCCGTTATAACTATACTGAGACCTTAGAACTTATTTCTCAGAGTTAGTGGCGGCATTTACGTTGTAGATGTCTATGGGCTCCAGTAACTACTTAACACCAGGTGGGCTGTGAGCTCGTCCACATATTTAAGCAATAAAAATAAAATAAAAAGTTTTTTTTTATTCCTTAAATGGCCACCTCCCTAGTGCTTATGTAGTTGTCAGAGCTCATAGAAATCAACAACGTAATTTCCGTAACTCGCCTTGAGACGAGGCTCAGTTTTAAAGTACAGCAACTGCCCTACCTTTCAACCGAAGCGCATTACTCCTTCTCGGCAGAAATACGTAGGATGGTGGTACCTACCCGTGCGGGCTCACAGCACGCCGCACTACTGTGCGGCGTGCTGTTTTACGTGTACGTATAATCATCGTGTAATAAAAATCAAACCCGCAAAATTATAATTTGCGTAATTACTGGTGGTAGGACCTCTTGTGAGTCCGCACCGGTACGTACCACCGCCCTGCCTATTTCTACTGTGAAGCAGTAATGCGTTTCGGTTTGAAGGTTAGGGCAGCCGTTGTAACTATACTGAAATCTTAGAACTTACATCTCAAGTTGGGTGGCGCATTTACGTTGTAGATGTCTATGGGCTCCAAACCCCACTTAACACCAGTTGGGCTGTGAGCTCGTCCACCAATCAAAAAAAACGCAATAAAAATAATAATAATAATATATTTTTGAGGGCTTAATTTTTATTACACGTTATTATTCCTTCATCGTAGAAGTCATTCGTTCGCCAGCACACTGTATTAATTACATATACAAGCAGAGGAACCTACGTGCAACTTGAAGTCAAATAATAGGCAAAACCTTCACAACCTAACTGATGCCATCAAACTTTAAAACATGAAGTCGAATGCTAAAGTGCTTTACAGCAAAAATTTTCACCAAAAAAATACCTACCCAAAATTTCCTCTAAAACTTCATTTTTTTAGCACACCACTAAACGCATCACAGAACCAAAAACTCGATAATTAGGTTAAAAATTAAAAATAAAATATCTATACGAGATTTTAAAGAAACGAAACTAAAACAAAATACACATATTGAGTGAGTAACAAGCGAATCTCGAAGGAAGGAAGCAATACAGTGAAAGAGCCAGCCAGCTTCCGTTTTGGAAGATTTCCAGAAACTGGTACTGAATCAAACGGGTTGTGTTTGTTTAGATCTTCCGGATACAGAGTGTTCTCTCTTGGGGGATGCGATCGTAATAATCGATATATTTAACAGCTGAATCGATTTAAATTATAATCTTTAGTCGTGTGCAAAATGTTTCTTTAACTATTTTTATTATTTATTTATTAAGTTGCACCAACAAAGTGATCATCGATACAAAAAATTGAACAATTAACAAAAGTTCATGGCAGATGTCACCTCAATTATAGGTACAATCGACAGTGCATTAACAACAAACATAAAAAAAATATATTTATAGAACTAACTAGAACTATTAGTTTGATAAGCGTTGTGGTTTAGTTAGTAAGAAGACAGGTATATTCAAGTCAAGCTAATTGAGACTGAACTGAAGATACCTAATATTTCAGCAGGTTTTATTTTTTGTAAACAGCTGCCTATAATGCGAACGATAATATGAATATGGTATTCGTCAAACAGATGCTTACGACGAAGGAATGGTGTAATGAATATATATAAACACCGCAAAAATGATGAACTACAAAAACAGTAGTAAGTAGTAAATTTTATGACATCGATAGATACCAACATTCAATAGTAAGATATTACTAGGTTGGAGTGTAGGAATAGAATATAACAAGTCAGAATATACTACACTAGAAATAATAATATGTACTACCATTTAGCTTACAACTAAGTTATCGAATACCTTGACCACTCTGCGTTCTGGCAAAAGTCCAGCATAATTCACTAAAGCAAGACAAACGAAATGAAGATTCTTGTAAATGTGCAGATAATGTATTTTAAATTAAGCAGTAGTCTAGATTTTAAATGTGTAGATTTGAGAAGAGATTTTTCGGAAAAGAATTTGAATAAATTTTATTATTACATTTTAGGAGCTTTCAGTGAGGAAGCATGGAGAATAGATGATAATTTTAATGGCATCAATGGGGCTGAGACTATCGAAGCCCCAACGTTAATTTTGTCATAGATTTTGAAGCGTGAAGATGAAATGTCATTGATATTAGAATAATGGGATTTTGATTTTTCAAATCAGCACCCAAAACTTCTATGCGATACAAATACGCAAAACATTAACATGAATACCAACCTGAAATTCATAACATGCCACAACATACGATGAATTCTCAACATACGATAAGAACTAGGGGGGACGATTAGGTAGAAATAAATCAGACTAATTCTGGTATTAATAGATCACAGTGAATTTTTAAATATTAATCTTCGACTCGCGAAAACTGAAGAACATACTATACATATCAAAGAGAAGTTAGTGCGGTTCTCCAGGGGCCAGATTCACCTTATTATCAAAGATCATTAGCTTGTGGGATATAAATTATTCATACTGGTAATAAAATGCCCATATGTAATCTCGCGAGACAATCACTAGAAGTAGTGATCACTAGAATGCGAGTTTTGAATCGCCCGTCGTAATAATTTAAAAGTTCAGGTAAGCTTCACTGTCTTGTCTATTTGTGGTATATAGTAATCATAGTTTTAGGTTCGAAAGGCAGCAAAGTCAAAACTCTGACGCGGCTTAGACTTGAACTGGATACGGAATTGTACACGGCATTATTCATTTTGTAATACCTATTAGCTTGAGGTATCGGTTTTGCTACCATTTATTCGTGATATCGTGAAAACACAATAGGCAGGTACGTGATTAAAACATTTTGTACGACTCCTGAATGAGGAAACCAATCTCACACAGTTATGTATTTAATATACAATACGACATTAGATGTTTTCGCAGTAAAGGGTAAAGACTAATTCTGATTTCAATACAATTTCATCTTTATCTCAAGACTGGTCAAGAACATAAAAAAATCAAATGAAAAAGTTTTTTCTTCATTAGGTCGTTACGCAAGTACTTTGGATCTAAGCGGTCATCGCTTTATAGGCCCTTGCAAATATACGACTTCACCAATGATTCAGGAAGCAATTTCACAACTGTAAAATTCGGCAAAAAACGCAGGGTTGCTCTTTTCAAAATAAATGTTTATATCAAGGCAATTTATAAAGTATTTATGATAGATTAGTCGTAGACTCATTTAACAATACCTTGATTAGATAAGAAGAAACAAGTCATTATTAAGTCCTGACAAAATAACGATTCAGTAATACTAGTTTAGTAGACCTAGTATTTAGTTTTCTGTGAGAGCTAGATAGGCTCAAGAAAGTGATGGTGATCACGATAATATAGTGTTGGATCGCACAGACACACTGTCATATGTATTGTTAATGCTAATGGTCAGAAATGAACAGCATAATAGTAAATTTGTGTGTCATAAATTCATAGTGGAAGTAGACAAGGTTCGGTGGAATAGTTTTGGATGGATGCCAACCGTGGTAGGTTGCGAGTGAGTACAATGCCTACCAGCTTGTGTTTTAATATAGACTGAATGGAAGGAATTGGATTTGGACCCTATTATTTATTTTTTCAACCCGCTATTACCACCTATTATAACATAGTAGTGAGCTGATAGATAATTTTAATGTCGTTAAACGCAACTCCTTGTTCCTCCAATATTATTTTTCATACTTTAAATTTATCATAGGACATCCCACTATAGATTTGTTGTTAATATGGGTCCCCAACCACATCAAAATATTTAAAAGAAAATTTAAATAAAAATCAAAGCCAAATGGACGGTAGGACAAGAAACCATATGGTTTGATACCTTCGTATTACTCTTTAACTAGCTAGCTTACCAATTTAAGTATAAGTTGTTTTTTTATTATTATTTTGTGAAAAATGGTAATGGGAATTGAAATGAAATGAAAAGAATTTGGAACATTAATCAAATAGCATGTAATTAAATTAGTCAATTCAATTCGCAAAATATTAGTTAGTCATTTACGATTTAGAAATCTAAACATAATGTGACTGTCAACACTGAGGTTTGAGATTGACATTTGACAGACTTTTGGCGGGAACATATCTTCCTTTTTTCCTTCCTCTAAGTCTCGGAAATCAAAAGTTTTAGATTTGTATAAATATAAGCAAGACTCATGAATTAGTTCGCCAAAAAAGTTTCACTTCTAACATGTGTACTTTGTACGCACGCACTTTTATTTTTTATTTTTTAGGAACATCAAAAATCGACTATTTATCTGGGTTCGAAAATGTTATGAAGCTACATACACCAAGAAAATTCAGTTAGGAATTTATTAAATTTGCACAACAATCTTCAGAACGTATCTCGCATATTCGTTACAATAACAAACTCCGTTAAAGCAAGAAATAAGTCGAGCAAATTGCAATTAAGTGGTCCCATGTACACCATGCGTCAAAATTTAATTTCAGTCTTGGTGCTTTAGAAACTGTTTCCACGGTAAAGGCGACATGACATTTTCCTGATATTGTCTTTGTTGAATTTCCGTTGAGTTAATCTGAACGATGCTCGATCGATTCTTGTATGGATGCATTGTATGTACCACATATTTGCGAATAAGAATTTGCGTTCTGTTTACTCGGATTTGACCAACAAAAAATACATATCTTCACATTTACGAACAACTGTAGTATCAATTAATAATGTCACTTGGTATATATTTATATTATCTCTATTTCTTTGTATGTTT